ACCTGAGACGTCCTCACCACTTCTGACTCTGAAGCTTAAACAGTGGCAACCGTTTCACAAATGGAGGGCGGGTGGTTTTCAGAATGTGGCTCTCGCCTTGGCGCCGCGCCCATTCGTTAAAGAAAATTGCAGCAAGGGTGTCACGGATTGGGGGCGGGTCGTTTTCAAAATGTGGCGCTCGCCTTCGCGCCGCGGACATTCGCCATGACAGAATTGCAAGAGCTTCACAGATTGGGGGCGGCTCCTTTTCAAAATGTGGCTCTCGCTTGAGCGTCACGCACACTCGCTCTTAACATGTGCAAGAGTTCCCCGGATTGTCATGATCAGCGTACCAGAAAGAATGTTTTGGAGGGGCTCAGGCTTATGAGGGTGCGCGAGTTATGTTGATTCGCGGTGTTCCAGTTCCAGGAATGGAGTCCTGGCACGACTCAGGGTCGTCAAGACGCAGCAGTCAGGTTGATCTGTGACGTTGGAATCCCGAGAACAATGTCTTGGCATGCATCAGGGTCTTCAAACAGTTGTCTTCCAATGAAGCAGTTTCCATTCTTATTATAATAATAATACTAATAATAATACTAATAATAATAATAAAAATGATGATAATAATAATAATAGTAATAATAATAATTATAATAATAATGAAATAATAATAATAATAATAATAATAATAATAATAATAATAATGATAATAATAATAATAATAATAATAATAATAATAATAATAGTCGTGATAATAATAAAAATAAACAGTGGTAAGGGCATACGAAGAGGAAACTTAGAGGGAGGGTGTATTCAAAGATCGTTGATGGTTCTTGTGTTTACACTGGTCCTCCTCCTCCTCATCATCCTCCTCCTCTTCCACCTCCGCCTCTGCCTCCGCCTCCGCCTGCGCCTCCGCTTCCGCCTCTTCCTCCTCCTCCTCCTCCTCCTCCTCCTCTTCCTCCTCCTCCTCCTCCTCCTCCTCCTCCTCCGCCTCCTCCTCCGCCTCCGCCTCCGCCTCCGTCTCCGCCTCCGCCTCCGCCTCCGCCTCCTCCTCCGTCTCCTCCTCCTCCTCCTCCGCCTCCTCCTCCGCGCCTAACGGCCTCCGCTCCGCCCTTTCCCGTTCCTCCTCGTCCTCCTCCTCCTCCTCCTCCTCCTCCTCGCCTCCTCCTCCCCTCCACTCCTCCTCCTCCTCCTCCTCTCCTCCCTCCTCTCCTCCTCCTCCTCCTCTCCTCCTCCTCCTCCTCCTCCTCCTCCTCCTCCTCCTCCTCCTCCTACCTCCTCCTCCTCCTCCTCCCTCCTCCTCCTCCTCCTCCTCCTCCTCACCTCTCCTCCTCCTCCTCCTCCTCCTCCTCCTCCTCCCTCCTCCTCCTCCTCCTCCTCCTCCTCCTCCCTCCTCCTCCTCCTCCTCCGCCTCCTCCTCCTCCTCTCCTCCTCCTCCTCCTCCTCACTCCTCCTCCTCCTCCTCCGCCTCCTCCTCCTCCCCTCCTCCTCCTCCTCCTCCTCCTCCTCCTTCCTCCTCCTCTCCTCCTCCTCCTCCTCCTCCTCCTCCTCCTCCTCCTCCTCCTTCCTCCTCTCCTCTCCTCCTCCTCCTCCTCCGTCTCCTCCTCCTCCTCCTCCTCCTCCCCTCCTCCCTCCTCCTCCTCCTCCTCCTCCTCCTCCTCCTCCTCCTCCTCCTCCTCCTCCTCCTCCTCCTCCTTCCTACTGGCCAAGAATACAACCACATGCATTTGCGTGTGGCGGAGGGCCCGGTTCTTGTCTTCCTGCGTGCGCGCCGCAGGGGCGGGGCAGGTGTGGCGCGGCGGCGCCGTGCGCCGTGCGGACGCGCCCGCTGAGACCGTAGCTGGGGCTCCCTCAGGGGCGCGAAACGTGCAAGGGAAGTGCCGAAATGGGCGTGGCGGTGTCGTGCGGTCGCGCCCGCTGGGACAGTATGTGGGGCTCCTGGAGGGGCCCGAAACATGGGAAGGTATGCAGAAATGGGCGCGGTGGTGCCATGCGGTCGCGCCCGCTGGGACCATCGCTGGGGCTCCTGGAGAGGCGCCGAAGGCATGAGGGGCGTGCCGGAATACGGACGGCGCCCCCATGCGGCTGCACCCGCTGAGACCGCAAGAAAACCTCCCTGTAGGGCCACGAACCGTGTGA